GTACCAGATCACAGATTCACATTTGAATCCCAGTATATTATGATTTTTGGAGCTGTTCACTAACCAAAATTCCAGCCTTACTTCAAAAACCTAGCTTCAAAATTTCAACTTCATAGTTAATGGTCCTCAAAATCATCATATTAAGTACTCCCAATTGTGTTGCCTATGACCTGAGTGCAGACACTCTCAGATTTGGGGAAAACGAAAGTTGGAGCCTTCAAGCTTAAGCTGCTGCCTGGTATGTGTTCTTCAGATACTTTCTAGCCCTCATGTCTGTGATCCTGCTGCTGTTCCACCTTTGTCACTGGCTACAATTTCACTTTAGGTGGTTAACATGATGGTGTTTGCAGAATGTCCTTTATTTCTCTAGTTGCTCTTCCAATCTTCCAAGTACCTCAGCAAGATGCAAAATTGTAAGAAATCCAATTTCAAATGGCTAAAGCATAAATCTGAGTGGAATGCTTCCTGGCTGCTCTGTATACCAGTAGCTATATCTAAATGAATGGAGTAAGCAGAATTTTTTTGTGTCCAGTGACAGTGATGGAGTGTGCAACATGGATTTTGCTCTCTTATAAGTTGAGAAAAGATCCTATGAATTTGTGAATGAAATGTTGACCAAGCAAAGTAAAAATCCTGTAACGGTAGTTGTTACACTTTTGATGTTTCCTTAGAGTTTTCTCTTTTTCTTCTGAAAATGATCCTTAAACAAAACTATTCTTACACCTCCCTTTGGGCTGGAAACAGCATATTTGTTCTGCTTTGTTAGTTGGAGTGATTTTCTTAGAATATATTTTTTCCCCTCTTAGTATTAGAGCCAGATGAACAGCTAAGCACCTTACAGCTTCTCATTTATCTTCTACCTCCTTGTAACTGCGATACCCTACACCGACTGCTGCAGTTCCTCTCCACAGTGGCTGGCCATGCAGAAGACACCACAGACAAAGATGGCCAAGAGGTAAGTTCAGGTCTCTTGTGTCCCTTAACTCTGTTTAATTCTGCTTAAGTTTGGAAAGAGATCTTTAAAGCCTTGAAATATACATAATGGTGGCATACCCCTGAAAGATGGGAGACATTTAAGATTCTTGCCTGCCCATTTGCCATTTAGTTGCTTACTATGTTCTTAGGGCTGTGAAAGTTTAATTTTTGTATGACTTAATCTGTAAGGCATCTACCACTTCCTTTGGGAGATTCACAGCATAACCAACCTTGTTGTTAAGATCACCTAATGTTATCCATCCTTCCCCTTGTCTTGTTTTATCTTATTATATTCTATGGAAAAAATACTCAGAAAAGGTCAGACATGCAAGAGTTTGCTTTTTCATTCTCTTTTCGTTCTCTATTGTTGCTTTCTTACATGACCTTTGGGCATAGCAGTTCACTTCTTGGTTCCCTTAGCTTCCTTGTGTGCACTTGGTTGTGAAAAATGAACAAAGGACAGGAACCCCAGCTGTGTCCTTGCAACTGACAGACCTCATCACTATCATCTTTGCCTTTTTTTTTCTGGCCTCCTTACTGTTGCAGTCTGGACCAAATTCAGGGAGAAGTTGACAGTGCACTCACCCCACAGAGACAAGAGTACCTATAGCTGTGGGGCTGAGTTGTACTTGTGAGTATTCACATGTTTGCAGTCACACTAGAGAAGATCTGAAAATCCAGGTTTCCCACTTTCTACCAGGAAAATGCTGAATTAGTAGGTTGCTCTGCAAAAGATGGCAACTTGGTTAACTTTGAATGAAATAGATAGTCTCTCACTGCTTCACAAAATTGTGCCACTTGATCTGTGGGAAGGACTTCTCTGTCCTCTGAACTGCAGCAGAGACTACTTCTGAAGTTACTTCTGAAACTTTTCTGAAACTCCTGGAGGTTTTTGTCTTCCAGCTGGAAAATCCTGATGGAAATTCTGTCAAATTTGGTTTTAATAATTTGCACTTTGAGACCGAGTTTTGCCAAATTTCTGCCTCAAGTCTGAACTTCCAGTGTGCTGTATGTAACTTCAAGGCCTAATTCACTTTTAAATCCACTTTAAATGCTATTATTTTTGTTTTCAGCAAGGAGCTGATAAAAAACTGCACCACTATGATGGAAAGCATTTAGAAAGAGCAGCCTGTAACAGTTTTACTGTGCCTGAAAACATGTATAAGCCAGCTAAGGTCATGGTCCCCCTGGTCCTGCAAAGATTTCTCTGTTGGTTCAGAAATGTACCCAAGAGGATCTTATGGCAGGGCTAGGGGATGCTGCTTAAGAGAGTTGATTTGGCCCAATGGTTGTATTAAAGGCATTTTGTTGCCCTTTACAGTACATCAGTTCTGCCACAGGTATTTTGCCAAGGCAAATTTATGTAAACTAACTTGACAGTGTTGTAAGCATCTGGAATATTATGTGCAACTGGATACCTTTTATAGATAACACAATATTCTGCTTACAATTATTTAAGCTATTTATGAATAATTAAGTGAATAAAGGCATACAGGACAAGAGAAAGGATTTCATCAGACTGTTTCCTATCACTGGAAGGAAAACAGCCAAACTTTGGCACACAGGCTGTCTTCATGATTTCTTTCAAAAGCCCTTCTCTCACAAAGATGAAGATGGATGACTGACTTTATTAAAATTGCTCATTCAGTTAATTTCAGTGCATATGTTGACAGCATTTTTTTAAGGGATGCCCTGAGGCTGCCCTTAAGAAAAGACTGACTGTGAGTACAGCCTGCACATGCAGATCCAGGCACAGCCAGAGGCTGCCCCTGGCACACTTGAGGCACCAGGTGCCTGCACATCCTTGGTGGACAGAGTTTATAAAACAGGTCACCTGAAAAACAGCTGGGTGCATGGTGGTGTGCAAATAAGGGAGTGTGCTGTTCCCACAGTCATGCTGGGATGAGTCTCTAAACAAAGAGCCAACATGTTTGCTATGACTGCCCATGTACCTACTTAGTGCAGATGTCTTTCCAACATTACACAGTGGTCCTGCTGATAAAAGGAAAAGCTCTTATTTGCTGTTACCTCTATGCTGTCTAGTTGACCTTTGTAAAAAAATAAACCAGAGGCAGCCAGTGCACAGCTGTAAGTTTGACTAGAGTATTCAGTAAACGACCAGCTAAAAAAAATAATTTAAAAACACTACTTTGAAAATATCTGTTTTGTACCACTCATTTCTTGAAATCCTGTTTTTACTACCTCTTTTTAGTGTCTCTTCTTGTTCTTTTAAAAAATTATTAGTTCAAAGGTAATTGAAAAAAATGAAAAATAACTCTCATGACTTTTTAAAAAATTTTTTTCAAAACCAGCCTACAAGTACTAAGTCAACAGCTGAAATTCACTTACAGTCTTATATAGTCAAAGTGTTGGGATCTTATTCTGCATTCTCAGAATAGCAACCAAGTGGAAACAGAGAGAGGAAGCACATGACCCCTGCTTTTTGTTCTGTTCAAAGAAGGGGGAAAAAAGTATCTAATCACAAATATGACTATGCAGTTTTTGATTTGATAATGTATATGACGTATTTTTCAGATCATTCCTGTCTAGTCTAGCATATATTCCTAGCCTTCTACTTCCTTGAAATTCAGATTACTGTTGCTTCTTTGAGCACAGATTTATAAAAGTAGGCAAAAAGGTAAAAAAACAACAAACCAAACAAATCCACTCAACAAGTAAACATTTGGCATGTTCTAGGAAACAAGGAAAAATATTAGGAAAATGCTAATAAAAATAATGAGCCTGATCCTTAATTATCTAAACTGTTTAAACATGGAGAAGTATTACTGTATATGTTTCAAATCATGAGTGCTACTTGAAAAGGCTAGGAGTTTTCAGTGTTTAGTCCTAAGAGACAGTAATGTGCTGGTGGTGAAGTAGGAGGGAGGTTTCTTGGAGTCCAGAACTATGCCACTGTTGAGATTCCTGGGAATTAGGGGCAGGCAGCACTTCCACATTCTACTCCTCCCATCCATTTGAAAATGTATCCAGATAATTGGCAGTGCTTGTTGCAGAGATGTTCAGTCAAGGTGTTTCAACATTTCTCAAAACTGTTCATTTTTTATTTGACTAGCAGTAGTTTCTGGTCTTGATGAATGAAGAATCAGAGGAAAGAGAGAGAGAGAGAGAGTTTGTGTGTGTGTGTGTGTGTGTGTGTGTGTGTGTGTGTGTGTGTGTGTAAGGATGTGTAGATATGTGTATATATGTATCTGTATACATTAGACCCTATTAGACCCCACCTCATTTATATTCTCTTTTCCAGATTACTGGGAACAAAATGACATCACTTAACCTGGCAACCATCTTTGGCCCTAACTTATTGCACAAGCAGAAATCTACAGACAAAGAATTCTCAGTTCAGAGCTCAGCTCGAGCTGAAGAGAGTACTGCGATCATAGCTGTCGTACAAAAGATGATTGAAAACTATGAAGCCCTTTTCATGGTAGGTGGATATTTCTTCATATTGCTCTTACAAGTTTAAAAGATAAATGGGAAAATACCTGGTTGGTATTAAACTAGATGAGAATGAAATAAGGTGTAGAAGCTGCATGAAATTAGGCTCAATTATTATTGGTAAAAAAAGTAGTCGTTTAGCAAGAGAACGCTTTTCAGTAAGTTAAAGTATTAAAATAGTGTACTTATATCTTGCCTGGAATGGTTTCTATGACAATAAGGGTATATTCCTTAGAAGATTTCTGTCTGTGGAAATGATGGGGTTGGCTATTCAGTTGTTAAACAATGTACGGACAAGACTGAAAATGACCTTTCACATCTCAGTTTGGGAACTCAGGAATCAATTTTCCTGCAGGGAACAAGAGATCCTTGGTTAATTTAAGGAAAAGCCTGCTCTGCCAAAGACTTTTTTGTTGGTTGGATAGGGAGGAAGGACAAAGCTTTCTCATTTGTCAGTTGGATAAAAGGAGTAAAATATAAATCTCTGTAGTTCCTGAGTTCCCTTCTGTTCTCTTGGTGAAGCAAGGACCTCCTGCATAAAAAGGCTGATGGCCTTGGACTTGGACATGCTGTTTACTTAAGATGCAACTGAGTTAAATCACATTCCTCATGCCTAGCAGTTACCTGGACAGTTCATTCTGTGGCTTTACCTGTACAAAATTAGAGGTCAGCTCAGCATGACTTGTGCCTGGGAAAGCCCTGCTCTGGGGTAGGAGTGGCCAGTCAGACCTACTGTAGGGCACTATGCTGTCTTCATTTTAGTAAACTAACACATCCTAACAAAACCAGTATTCTTGAAAAAGTGGAAATAGCTTTGGTTGTTGTGTCTTGAAACCAAGCAGCATTGGATGTTACACTGAGATCAGTTCCCAAAAAGAGAGGAGGAACACACTGGAAATATCCCTTAGTGCTTCAGCAAAGCTGAATGCTGGAGACGTTTTTGGAAGAAGATGAACAAGCCTGAACTGTGGCCTCATGGCCAAATACTACTATGAGAGGAGGGTGTCTATCAGATTTTAGCAGGGAGAAGAGCATGAGAAAGCAGTCACGAGTCCTGCCTATCAGTCTTAGCCTCAGATGAACTTCTTTGTGGATTTCTTTGCTTTTATTTTTATTCTTGTTATTCTTGTACCAGTGAGGCACTCAGCATTCTTTTTTTTTTTAATGCTTTTCACAGTTTGGGGAAATGTTAGGTATTATTTTTCCTTCCACACCAAGAAAATAAAGTGACAGAACTGTACTCTTGGGTAAAGGTCTGCTGGCCCAGAGTGCAGATGGCACTATCAAGTTTAAAATAATGCTTGAATAAGAATACTTACAATACTTGAAGTTTCCTCATTGTTGTTTCTTGTTAAGAACATTTTATATCACAGATCCATCTCAGCACACAATATGTAGGCATACATTCCAACTTCCAGTGTAGAAAGGATAGGGCTAAGGTTAGTCTAACCTACATATGGTCTCTTTTAATTCTGACAGATTTATTCTTTTATCTCATCAGTGCTGCACTTTCATCTGAAGGTTAAACGAAGTGTGGGAAAAACGTTTTCTTTTGTTTTCCAGGGTAACATTCACTGATTATACTTGACATTTATGCTACTAAAAAAGAAAAACATCTGGACCTAAGCATTTAGCTACAGCTGTAACACAGTGTATTGCTGCTAAGGTGCTTTTGTGTTTGTTTGAGTTTTTTTCTTTCTGTTACTTCTACATATGGGGAGGTTATAAAACTCTGATTGGCTTCAGCATTGAAACTGGAACAACATTTGTGAACTAAAACCTAGGAAACCAGGATGTGTTGTGGTATCCAGACCACAATATCAGAATGATTCTGACATATGGGTGGATGAGGAAGGTTCTGTTTGTCAGAATAACCCAGGATACTGGGCACTGTTTTTATTAAGCAACTATCACCAACATCAGGAATATGCAAACATGTGGATTTCTTATAAAAGATGGAATCTGACCTTGCTTCGTTGATGTCAAGAATGATAAGGCCTTTCATATGCAATTCTTACCCATTTCAAAGAGTCTCAGGGATGCATTAAAATGTTTTGTGGGAATGCATAAAGGACAATTCTTTGCCAAAAAGAAACCCAAAACCCAGTAGATAGCTAGGAGACCATAAGTACAAATCCAGTTGAAGATTCATTGATTAATATGCCCTCATTCATTCAGATAAAAGTCCTGTAACTCAATAGAACTGTTAAGTTTGGGTTTTATAGATGCTTTCTGTGGGAATTGAACTTCCTGTTGGAACTTTTTCACTTGTTTTGATGGAATGAAAGACTGAATTATTCATTTATTTATTTTAATAATGGAAAAAATATTTTTACTTTTCTGACAAAGTCCTCTCAGTTAATTCTTACAAGTTAATTGATATAAAGCTGAATAGTAACTTAGGGAAAAAAGATGTGGATTCTATTTTACCCTCCAATTTCATCTAGAGTTTATTCTAGTGTATAGAAGGGCTGTTTAAATGGAGAAGTCACAGTACACTAGGTTTCAAAAAACATATTCCTATAAAGATAATTTAAAGACTAGCATATCAGTGACTACCACTAAGATATTTATCCATCTTAGAGACTGAATACCATTTTTAAAAAATGAGTATGTGGTTAAAGACGTTTTTCATAGAGATTTTGTATGAATTAGAGTTAAACTACGCATATCTTCATTTATTTTCAAATTATTTCATTATTTAAAGGAATAGTACTTTTCTGTAACTTGACTTCCTAAATACATCCCAAATTGAGGTATTCCCTTGAGGAATCTGTTAGTAATTCCATCCCTATTTCCCAGGAAATGTCAGGGAGAACAAATGGCCATCCAGTGTGACTTGAAGGTCAAAGGACTCAGGCTCTGACAAATTGCATCCAGAAATATATTGTATAATTGCTGACCCCTTGTTGAGATTGTCTTGCCTTCAGTTCCATCTGTTATGAGTGTACCTGGGCTGTTAGTTCACATTTTTGGGGTGGTTTCATCTGTTTCAGTGTTTTGAAGGTTGATTTCAGTGTTCCACTGTGATGAGGATTGATAAAGCTCAGGTAAAATGCAGTTGGAAGCACAAAGTTGACTTGGGCAGGTTTTGGGGTGACATTTCTGCTGCCTGCCCAGGAGATGTTGCTCTATCCAGCAGCAGCTGCAGCTATCAAGGGTTTTGAAGGTTCATTTCCATAAAAAGTGCAAAGAGAAATTTAGCAAATCAGAAGGCCAAACTCCAAAGAAGGTGACACAAATTCTGTCTGAGCCTGTTGCTCAGAGTGGCTGGAGATCCAACAGGACCCACTTGTAAACCTGGACAGGTGAACTTCATAATTATTCAAGGTGTGATTGAGCGTAAGCAAGAATGTAAATACTTCTATGTCTTAGGATTTGGCCATATGGATACCTGAACATTAAATATTATAAGACTTCATTTAGGAAAATGCTGTCCTTAGGTAGTTCTCATTGAAATGAAGCAATTGAAGATCTTTATAGGTAGCACAACTACCACAACATTTCTGTATGAGGACATAAATAAGTCAAATGTCTCAGAGTATCGGAAGAAACATTCTCCTTCCTGTGTAATTACATATCACATTGTTTCTGAAAGAGAAGTACTGTTGCTCGGAATGGAAATTTCTAAATGTACTCCAGATCTTTGAATGGGGATGTAAGGTGAGGACCTTAAACTGGAGCTTTTGAGATTGTGATATGTGAGTAATGCCACTGTTATTACCAGATATAATAGCCAACTGGATGCCATGGGGTTATTCAACAGTAATCAGCATTTAACACTGTACAAAGTGATCTTTAGTCCTACTTCATCTGTTGTTACTTAACATTTCTCTTTTAAGTGGAAGCTTCTGTGTATTTTATATACTCCCTGTAAATGTACTTGTACATGATCTTAGTATCAAAGTTAATAAACGTGAAAGGATATTAATCTCCAACTAAGTTTTCTTTTTGTGTGTGTCTTCATAGGTTTCCCCTGACCTACAGAATGAAGTGCTTATTAGCTTATTAGAGACTGACCCAGATGTTGTGGACTATTTGTTGAGGAGGAAAGCTTCCCAGTCATCGTGAGTAATCTGTTTTTTCATCACCCGTTTCTGCTGGGAATTTCTATCTCCCACTGGAAGTGTTCAAAAGGTTCTAGTTTTCCACAGCTCTTCTGCACTGTCTACAGTGGAATAGAAATATCCTCCCCATTACACAGACTCTGCCAAAGAAATGATGACTCTTGTACAGTGTTTTCTAAAGACAAAACTTGTTTCCTGATTCAGAGGAAAGATTATGTTCTGCTGCAGAGAACAGAATGACATGTACATAAAATTATTGAGTGCACTATTATCTGACAGGGTGTATTTTAGTGATCTGCTGGTTCATGTCTTGGGTTTGTTATAGTCTTCAGTAACAGGAGGTTTGCATTCCACTATCCTTGAAACACACCCTAGAGTGCCTTAACACCGTCACGGCTTGCTGCTTGGCCAGTTTGTCGTTCTTTTCCTATCGTGTACACGTAGGATATTGTAAACAAGTCAACTGCTGCAAAAGCAGATTTATGGAGACTCTTTGGATATTATTTGACTGTGTGCTTTGTGAAAGATCTGGAGGGAAAGAAAAAATCACACCGGTCACTACTGCAGTTCTGATACATAATATATTCTGATTTTGTGTATGGTGTATATATGCCTGCACCCTTGTGCCTTAATGCTGTGAGTTTGTGCATCCAGATTAACAGGATTCCTGGATTTCTCATGGGACCACACAGTCACTGCCTTTATTCTAGTGAATCCCGATATGTCAGACCCCAAAAAATCAAAAAATTTGACAGACTTGCTTTAAGTAATTTTAAAGAGGTTTCCTAGACTCTAAACTTTCTGGGACAGATTGGACTTTGTCTTCCTGTGTTTGTGGAAAGTGCCTAGTGCATTCAGAAGATCATTAAAATTGAATTTGTACAGTCGGTTAGCAATGAATTTTTTTTCTCTCCCTCTGAACATTGTATAGTTGGAGGTAATGTAATAGTGTGCCTGGCTTTAAAGGAAGAGCTATACAAGAAATAGTGTGATTAACACCTAGAGGAAGAAAGCTTTCTTTAATTATAAAAACTGGAAACAAAAATACGTGCAGCATATATTGTGTGTTGTAAAGGATTTTATTGGTTTGTTGACTTAACCACATGAACACATAACGCGCAGTAGCAAATTATCGCAGATCATCTGATTTGTGGTAGTTTTCTCTGTGTGAAGTAATTTCAGCTACTCTGTCTGACTGACAAGTAACCATGTGTATATTTAGATCACAATAAGAGCAGGATAGTTAGAGGCACATTAGCTGTCTTTTACACTTGTTTCACATTTGCCATGAGCCAAGACTACGATTAGGAGAGACACTGCAAATCACCTGACATAAGGTAAAGTCTGTAGAGACTTTCTCTAAGCCCTCAGTTTGGAATGATCAAATTATTTCTGACGCAGGCTAATAAAAACCTTCATGCTGGATTTCACCATCTATATAATAAAAAGACATAAAATTGTGTCTCACATGTGGCTACACATATCAATTGAGCATAAATTTGTTGCAATTCATTGTGAATGTGACAGGTTATTGTCAGATCCTGTTTTCTTAATTGACCTTTCTTTGAGCTTCCTTACTTTTAGCCAGCATGCACATCTACAGGAGAAAATGGATCTTCTGTGCAAAGCTGGTCACAACTTGCAAAAGGCATTTTGTAAGAAAAGGTTCTGAAGCCAAATAGGAACATATAGCTACACTAGTACTAATTTATTGTGTTTTCAGTGATGGGCAGATGAAATATCACTGAGATAAGAAAAACTTACTATCTGTCATTTTTCTTCTATTCTGCTATCATGTAAGTGATCTATTCTTAATGTTAATCAGATATGTTTTCACTGTGATTGCAATTCCTTGGTTAAGATATTCCAGGCAATTAGAGGGAATGTTGTTTAGTGTTATTGCTAGGAGTGTGATGCTCTTAAGAGATGAATCTATTTCAGACCTTAATCTTAATTTTGAGGCTACATATTTGTTGCTTATTTTACCTGTAAGAAATGTGAGGCAGCAGACAAGATGTTTGCCTTGATTTCATAAAAATGATCCTCTAAAATACATCCTTGCTACTCTTGGAAATTGCCTGGTCACATACTCAAGATCCATATGTGGGTGGATCCATGGAACAGAAAACTTTACATATTCCTGGGACAGTCTTCATCAGAAAAGCTAGTTGGCTGCATAGAGTAGAGTATGGAATCAACTTCAAGACTTTAATGTCACATTAATTGCTTTGAAGGTCCTGCTTCTGCAGTTGCCCTCACATTTCTGCTTTTGCTGTCATTATAAATGCTTTCTTGGCTCTGATCTAACAGAGACAACACAATCTCTTTTCCTCCCCAGAGGAGGACAAATCAAATGTTCCTTATCTTCAGTTTTCTTAAGAGCTGAGCATCGTGAATGGTGTGTCAGGGAGTTTATGAGAGTTGTTTATGATAAAGCACTAGTTACAAATGGCAGCAATTGTGAAGTGTGCTTTTGTGGATGACTTCCCAATTTTTTGTATGTTGGCTTGATGACAATGGAATTTGGGGTTTCCAGCTGTAAGATGAAGCATCTTTAAACTAAAAAAAAAAAATAAAATCTATTTCTTATGATTATTTATTGCTTATCATGGTTAGTAGTCCCTTTAAAGTAAGTGAGTTACAAAATTACAGAATTTTGGAATGTTTTTGGATGATGATGATGATGGGGTTTAATCCATCTTGACCTGCAGCATAAAGATGAAGCCATACCATTGGCCCTACAGTATGTGTAAATGCATTTTTCAAAGCTGCAGAGGCTCAGTAAATCATTGAGTCTTCTACCCTGCTACAGTAGCAACCACATTATCATCCCATAGTAATCTGGTTTGTTGGTGGCACCTGTGTTGCTCAAATCTATGTGCAAATTACTATTGTGTGCTGCCAAGCCATCACACTCTGTATGATTTGCCTCTTGAAGGCATAATTGTTTTCCCTCTCAGAGGCTTTAAGTTATAACAGAAGAGGGTTTCTGCCACAAACAGAAAGGGATTTTCTGGTTTGATGACCTTGATTCTAGTAGAAAAGTAGGAATATCCTCAGTAGAAGTAACTAATTTTTTTAACATTTTTCCAGTTCACCCATGCAAGTGGATTCTGGTGGATAACATCAATTCGTAGAAGGATGCCTGTTGTTTTGAAATCTGAAATAGTATTTTTGAACTCCTGTGGCATAGGTTCCTTCTGCAGCTTTCAAATCTTTCCGTTTGTATGTAACCACTGTTTAAATCTTTTCCTTAACATACTTCATAACCACTGGAAAATACTTCACTTGCCTTCTCATTTCTCACACGTGATGAGACATAATAATCTATTATTCTTTGTGGGGACCATAATCTTATTCATAGACTGTTTGCCTCAAATTTAGTGTGTGGGTAGAGAATCTCACTATCTGTGGGAAGATGAATTTTGAATTTTAGTAAGCATCCGTTTGCTACTGAACTCAGTAAAGCAAACAGATGCAAAAGTTCTGTTTTGAGGAGTATGTGAAAGGTCCTTCTTTGTTTGCAGAGATGCAAACTGAGGTATTTGGCAAGTTGTGTTTTATTTTGTTTGTATGGTAAAGCTGCAAATGTATAAGATCAATTTTCCAGCTTTAAAGTATTCAATCCATTTTGATGGTTTCTTGTGGTAAGATTAACAGAGTCCACAGGCACTTTCTTTGATTTTTTAAGCTATTGTTTCTAAACAAATTTGAAACTAATATAGTATGTATAATAACTTGGGCTTACTAGCAGAAACTGTAAATCAATTTAGAAACTTGAATGTTTGAAAGACTTGACAGTGTCCGTTCAAGTAAAATTTTATCAGGAGCTCTGTCTTGAGAAGAGATAGACTATAAGAGATCATTCAAGGTAAGACATGAAATCAGTGTTTCACAAAGCTCTAGTTTATGTTCCCACATTGTTTCATTTGCACTTCCTTTTCCCCTATTCCTTGTGTTACCTTGCTGTGGCTAAGTGGTGGTTTACCTCTGTCTTTGTTCTGTGCAGTACAGTTAGGTTTTGATGCTGCAAAGATTTGCATGTGATACACCTTAGTGGTGCCACCTGTGGTGCCAAGTATGTCTGTCTGCTGACAGGGTGAGGTTTAGATGACACAGTCCAGAAAGCTGAAGAGAAGGACATCTGGTCATAGGAAACCTACAGATACCAACATACCTTTTCTGTGAGGTCTTCCTAGTTCTTCTAAAATTCCCAAGGCATTGCTTAAATCTCATCACATTGCACAAGGGATTTTTAGAACTTAGGAGGGCAGAAAGAAAGAAGTGAGGGACAAAAAAAGAGAAAAAAGGTTTGAGATAGAATTACATATACTAAAAATACAATAATTCTTCAGTGTGGCGGTGTTTATAGATTAATTTACATTGGATTCATCTTCAGGTGAGAAGTTGAGTTGGGAAGTTACATACTTGAGGCTTTCTTTCTTTATTTTTTTTTTGCAATGACCCCCCACATTACCATACTGCACTGAGAAGCCCAGGACAGAGCTGCTCTGCCAAAGAGCACCTCTATTTTTTATTTCTTTTATTTTTGAGTTGGCCCCAGTTAAAGTTCAGGATCAGTTCGCTGACAGTTTTCTCACTGAGAGTTACTGAGGAGTAACCTTAGTAAATTCATTCCCAACACTTTATGGTTCCTTTTATACTGGAAAAAAAAAAAGAATAGTGAATAACATAATAATTATGTCATTGTGTGTATATATTTTATTCTTGGGGTCATTCAATATGTAAATCTGCCAGGGATAAAAGCAACAGCATGAAAGTCATGTTCGGTTCTGCCATTATTCTGTATTGATATTTAGTGTGTTGTGGCTAGCTGTGTGTTTTCTTCAGTTTTATTTCACTTGTCTGGAAACAGGGTAATTATTCTGTAATAAGAAAGGAGTTTTTTGGCTGCTCACTCAGTTCAAGCTGTCTTTGGATTTGACTCTCTGAGAAGGGCTGACCATTTTCAGGCATTTAAAAGAATGAGCCTCTGTTGTATCGTATTCAATTAGAGCAGATATTAATGAGAGGTCGCAGAGAGAAGTGTTTGACTCAAGATAAGCGAAAGATAAGCGTCTAAGAAAAAAGGATCAAGGTGTAGAAAAATGAGTAATAGAAGTAAAAATTAGGGGGAAATGTTATGTTTGTTCACAGAGATTTCTGCATAGTCTTCGTGAGGTTCATCGACTCCCAACCTGCCTCCTATCTGCATGGTACACTGTGACAGTTCAAGAACTCTCCCTCAACATTCCCAACACGTTTCAAAAACGAGTTGTCTCTTTGAGCCTTGGCTATACTTTAGTGGGGTTCCTGTTTGCCCTTTTTTGGTCATGCTGGTGCTGATGTAAAGGTGAAGTGGTAAAAGAAATTGTAGAAGGTATCAGCAGAGCCAGTTGTTTGTTGCCCCATCAGAAGTAGTAGATACATCTGTTTGTCCCCTGTAGAATATTTACCTCCTTATGTCTCTAGAACAGGATCACTCTCAGAACGTGAGAGGTGAGCTGAGTGCTTGACTTCTCCGTGTTAAAGTTCAGAACACAAGAAATTATTTTACATACTACTTAGCATCAAACTAATTTTCCCTATTATACCCTCGGCTATACCGTTGCAACAAGCTAAATTGTCAAGGTAACATAAGGAATTGATTCACTGCTTAGTTTCCTGTGGTTTACTGTGCAGTTGTGTGGGTTTTTTGTTTTCGTTCTTGACAGCACCATCTTTTGGTTTTGAGTGGCCTCTGCTGGCCACTTCATGGCAAAAGTTTTACTCATGGAAAATCCACCTCTGTAACTGCTTCTGTTTTCATTTCAGCATCTGTGCCCTTTCGCCTGTATTTGATTGTATTTGTATGATCATAGAATCATAGAATGGTTTGGAAGGGACCTTAAAGATCATCTAGTTCCAAACCCCCTGCTGTGGCAGGGACACCTTTCACTAGACCAGGTTGCTCAGAGTCCCATCCAACCTGGCTTTGATGTCAAACTGCACCTGTAGCTGTGACCATAAAACATTTTTTATTAACATTAGTTTGTTTATCATAATTTCTCAGGAGCCCTGAGATGCTGCGGTCAGAAGGTTCCTTCTCCACAGGAGGAAGACATTCTTCCACAGACTCTAACAAAGCTTCAAGTGGGGATGTCTCTCCTTACGACAACAACTCCCCAGTGCTGTCTGAGCGCTCGCTGGTGGCAATGCAAGAAGAAGTTGTTCGCAGCCCAGATAAGCTATACAAGGTACCTGAGCAGTACACACTGGTTGGACACTTGCAGCCTAAGACAAAGGAGAATTCTTCTGCATCACAGGCTGGAAAAGGTATAGTGCATCCTGCTTGTGTTCCTTCTCCTCAGTGACTGATGGGAGTTTCTGAAGGAATTGAAAAGTTCCAAGTCTATATTATCGGCTACCAGGATTTGAGGAGCAATACTGGTAAATAGCCTTAAAAAAAAGGCAGACCAGCATCCTTTTTTTGTGTTGTGCCCAAAGGATCAGTGCTGAATCTGTGCATTAGCTCACTCAGCTGTTGCAGATGCTTTGGCATGGCACTTCTCAAACCTTGAAGCTATTATTTAGGAAAATAGAACTATGTATGTCCTGATTTTCAGCCTGTCTGTGACAACATAGCAAAGTCTAGTGCTGCTCCATGGGGAACTGTAATACCTGCAAGGTTATGGTCCAGACTTTGGAAAAATCTGAGATTTTAAGACTTCAAGCTACAAATTTTCTCCATTTGAAAAGAATGACCTCAACACCCTCTCGCTGGAGAACATAGCTGAGCTGCACAGCTTTGCAGCTGCAACCAATTACACACCAAGCAATACTAGTGTAGGGATCCATAATTTCTGCAGCTACCTAGGGAGTGCATGCCTGAATGATTTCTTAGGTAAAGAACTGTGGTTTAAACTAATAGCTCATCAACACCTCAAGATGCTTTTATATTAAAAAACGTTACGAAGTTGACATCCATGAAATTCATATTTAGTGAGCCAAACCTTTAAGAACTTTCATTGCTTAAGGATGCAGCTAATTCTTTGGTGGTATTTTTAAAACCATTTTGTTTCAGAGGTACTGGTTAGGCCCTTAAGTGCCTCTGGAATTAGTGGAATTTAGGCTAATATCTCAATTATATGCTTGAGATACCAGTGGGCATTTATCTTCCATATTCATCATCTAAATGTCTGAATAGGTTTAAAAATGTGGTCAGATTTCTATTAAGTTATGAACAGGAAATTACATGAAGTTTTATCGTATTAACCATCTTTTGGACTTTAATATGCATCACAACGATACTTGGCCATGACAAATTAGGAAATTCCTCTACTGCCAGGTGGAATCAGAAAAAGACATGAAACTGTTGTAACCCAGCACCCTATTATAACCCTATTCTGTGGTCGCCTTACTTCTGTGTAAGACCTGCAGCATCCTTGGGTTGATAAAGCATGCTTACAGTGACACCTGGGGCTGGGGCTTCATCAGGCAGCTTTGCTAGAAACTGCCTTCTGTTGACCAAATCTTCCTATTCTTGTGCAAATTCTCTGACTTCAGTAAGGCAAAGGACTTAAGGACTCGGCAAACTCAGGAGCCCTGTCCATACAAAGCTCACAGAATCCATTACAGCATCTGAGCCTGAAACAGCAAGTAGCTGTGAACAAATACATTTGAGATGCTTGTGTTAGGTGAACGGTAAGTCTAAGCTAGTAGATGTTACTGACTCTGATACCTTACATAGGGTTTTATCATTCTGTTTGTATGTTTCTAAATAATGTCTTTAAGAGGATCAATTCAGCATCTTTTTCCTGCTCTTGCTGCTGTTTAGATGTCTCTGAAGATCATTTTGATATCTGGGGTACTTGGCATTCAACGCTGAAAAGTGGTTGCAAAGATCCAGCAATGACAGGTCAGTTATTTCTCAAGCTTAAAGCCCAAATCTAGCAAAGATAGAAACAATTTCTTGGTTTCCAAGAAATGATAGTGAAACCAGTAGGAGAATTCTCGTTGTCCAGAGCTGAACTTTTAAAAGGTTCAGTAGAATGCAGAGAAGCACAGTGGTTAGACAAACTCTCAAAGATAATGTAAAAAGTAATTGTAAAATTGTTTCAAGAACTAGTTTTATATTCTTCTAAAAGTAATTGGAAGGTGAGTGTCCAGTGGGGATTTGAGTGGCTGCCACAGTGGCACAAGCACAGGCTGTGAGGTTGGTAACCTCCAGTGCTTACCGTGCTGCTGGACAGCAAGTTCTTGACCTGTCCTGCCTCTTTTTTTTCCCTCCCATCTGCACCCATCTCACATGGGAACTGTGAGATTAAAACACTCCCTTCCCACCCTGCTCTGCAAGTGTTTGAAAGATGTTAAGTGCTGCAAGACTTTATGTCAGGACAGTTTTAGAGTCACCAGGTAATAGAGTAGACGTGGTTCAAATCGATGTAGGGGCTGCTGCTCCCTGTCCTCAGGTTCAGAGGGTGGTGAGGCTGATACCCCTGCAGCCACACAGCCCAGTGCTAAAAGTCCTCACCCTTCTCCTACAGTGTGATGCAGGGGAAGAGCAGTAACTTGTTAAATGCCACGTAAATGGTTCTGCAGGTTCTCTGTTGTCCCTCTGACTGTTGCTCTGTTGTCTGTCTGACTCTGGTCCACAGGTTCTTACGGGAACATTTACGAAAGCAGCTTGCTGCGACCCGGACAGTGCTCTCTCTCCCAGGGGAACCTTGCCATGTATTCTCCTCGGTGGCAGAGCAGCTCCTCCGAGCTGGACACCGGCAGACACGTCATGCGAAGGAGCCAGACGACTGCTGCCATCCCTGAGTGTCAGCTCCATCCCATGATGTCTCGGGTGTGCAGTAACCCACAAATCGAAGTCGGCAGTAGGAGTTCAGACCTGTCGCACTCCAGGTCGGAGCAGCACTTGACTTTAAGCAGTGTAGAGGACCTCAGCGAGCGTGACTCGCACACGGGTTGTTTGCAAAGCACAGCCAAGCCCTCCTACGGGAAAGAGCGGCCGCCACCCCCCTACCCAGGCACAGCAAAAACAAGCTCTGCGGCGTCACAGCGATCGAGTGTTTCTTCAACGTTGCACTCTTTCTGGAGACTTCAGCGCCCAGAAAAAAGTTCAGGGCTGAGAGCAGCTGGAGGGCCAACAGCCAGAGCCCCTGAGCAGGCCACCTCCAGGCAGGAGCGACCGGCCCCGCACACCCAGGCGGGTCACGTCTGTTCCACAGCACCTCACAGTCAGAACAGTAAAAGTGTTTCAGAGGCAGACTGGAATGAGTGGCAAAGGGAGAGGTGGCAAATCTGGGAGCTGTTATCAGCTGATAACCCTGATGCCCTCCCAGAAACCCTTGTATGATCAGACTCTGTGGAACTGCCACTCAGACCTATGCCTCTGTCTCATAGGAAAGCAACAGTGACATTGGAAAGCAGGGAGAGCTTGCTTGTTTTATACCAACTGAATTGCATATACTTAATAAAAACTTTGTTCACTTTAATTTCTTAACAGCACTGTCAAGCAGTTAATTTTCAAATATGGTATGTTCCTGTTTTTCAGCAAGCTTTTGAGAAAAAGCAAGATGAAAATTTTAGTGTAATAACTGTATGCATATGCTGTGTATAAGATAAAACTGTTGCTTTGATGTTGCTAAAAATGTATTTATATATCTGCAGTTTTGATGATTGTATATTCTGTAATGGGTATTGTATGATAATCGTATATTATGTTTTCATATGCAGATGTCAATCAATCATGACTGCTTTTTTTTAAAAAAATCACTGCACTTACATTACCGTGATATGCATTGGAATTCTATAGAAAGTGCACAAGCTGGTTTCTGTGCTTATATATGTATTAAAAAGAAAAAAAAAGCTGTTAAGGGAGGAACTTGTCCTTCTTTTCACTGCCTCTTCAAAAACACTAAAATAGAGTGGAACATGAAAAGCCATATATTTTATAGGGGTAGTATTGAGTTTGAGGGGAAAATACCAAATATTTTTTTTCTTATAAATATATTTGCAAACAAAATTAAAATTTGATACAAGATTGTAAAAATATTTTTTTAGATTCTGGTAGGAAGCAGCTCAGAGAATCAACTAAGAGCAACATTGTGCCTTAATCAGCTAAGGATGCAGTACAAAGGTCTGCTCTCCCGTTCTAAAGGAAAACCAATGTTATATATACAGGATATAATTTATATATTTATAAGTGCTTGATTTTATGTATTGTTCTAAAACAAGAAACTGGAATCCAAATTTTAGAAAACCAAACCAAATAAATTGCAATGTGTAACAACTGAGAAAGAATATGGCTTTTCCTTTGAAATCCCAAAAGTCCAGTATTATAAAATTAGAGAAGGGAAAAAAATTGCAGACAGACATATGAAAGGGAGTCAAGCAGAGTTTCAGAAATGAACGTGCCGTTTGGAGAAGTTCACAGCTGCGTTTCTATAAATATTGTGCCAAAGTCTGGGTCATTAACAGTTTTCATACCTGTATGTTGTGCTGTTCCATGTTGCTGTTTTCTACACGTTGTGGTGTTTTTACCTTGCAGAATCGTTCGTGGCCAGCAGGGGGCAATGTACCGCAGTATTCTAGAGAAAATCGGGTTAGCGCTCGATAAGGGAAAGTGTATCATATCTAAAGAATTTTATAAAACATATTAGTCTTAATTTTAATGAAGTTGAAGACTTATTCAGTGATGTTGTCTATCAAGTTCTATCTTGTGCCATAATGATGGAATAAAAAGCTAAGTAAAACAACGAGCATATTTTTTGCTCTTTTTTTTTAAAAAGTAAGATTTATGGGGAAAATCGATGTGTTTTTATTACATTCTTGAGTAGCAAAAAAGTGAGATTTATGGGGAAAATCAATGTGTTTTTATTACATTCTTGAGTAGCTCTGTCAAGAACATCTAGAAGGCTTAAAAGCTTAAAGACCACCTTCAAATACAACTTCAGTACACAAGATCCAAGGTTTTACTTCAGTTTGAGGCTTTAAATCCATCATATAAAATGACTGCCCATCATATCTCCATTTACCAAGTAAAGGTATAAGATAAAAGCAGCAAGCTGAGTAGAAAGGGGCAGGATTTGGCCTTTGATTGTTATAGCTCTTTTTATGAATGCTGCATGCAGAATAAATCTCACTCTCTTCTGGTGGTTGGAAGGCTTTTCCAAATACCATCTTGATCTGAGACTTGATAGGAAAAGGTTCTTGTGTGCACCTTGTTGTGCAGCTGCATCAATTTATTCCCCCACCAAAAAAGGCAGTCCACCCCAAATGGTGGAATATAAGGAGGAACAAAAATGAACTCTCAATAGCAACCTTTACCTTTTGACCTTGTCTCAGTATTATCCCAGGCTTGTCACAGATTTGCTACAGGGAACTAAAGCTCCCAAATAGTCCTCAAAACCAGACATAGTATCAGAAGATACTGTATTCACTAGATGTCCATCTCTTCCTTATAAATCCCTTTCTAAATACAGAAGCACATGCACATTTTTAACATCTAGTGAAAGATGTTTAAGGATTACTCAGCCTCACAAGGAGCTTTCTTTTTGCCAGTTCCTCTCTATGTATGTATTTGTACAGATTGGTATATTACCATCTACATGGAGTTTATGCAAGAAAAGACAAAACGAAAGACAGGACCACTGCTGGAGGACAGCCTTGTCTGCACACTTGTCAATATCCTTTTGCTTAGAAGATAGAATAAATTCCAGTGAATTAAAGATTACATAATTTCTCTCTGTTGTTTTCATCTGAACAGGACAGAGCAGAATTACCATGAGCAGGTTAGGGATGTAATTTTTAGATGTGCCTTTTGCCAGGCTGAAATCGGTGACATAATTTTTTATGTCTTTTTTCTTGCCTTTTTAATCAGCTAGTTAAAATCTGCTGTGCTCACACAGCACTATTATGGGGTAACTATACCACTATATAGTTTAACAGCCAGCTACTGCAGTTTGGAGAATTTTGCACTGCATACCCTTTTGTGCCATGGGCATACCTATGCTTAACGTACCTGGACAAATTACCATTTTGGTTTGTTTTTTTCTTCAGAGCCCAGCCCTTTTTCTCTCTGCAAAGTCTCTGGGACTCCTACCCAGAAACTTGGGTGCTTAACATCCTGCAGAAACTGAAGGCCTTCTCTGTTGTGTTTTCTGGCTTAATCTTGCATGGCTAAAGGATAATCCAGTGACTTCTTGCTGCCCTGACCGTCAATGGCACATATGTCCATGACAGGGAGCCCCAGCACCTCACGCTGACTTAGCCAGTCACAGGAATGATAGCCAAATGCTTTGCTGCTCAAGTCCAGTCCTTCCAGAAAATGTCTCATTTCAGTACTGGGTTGGACAGAAAGCTGCTGGGCAAGCAAGCAAGTCCTTTGCTCTCATCCTATTATGCCACTAAACTATTTTTGTGTAAAACACTTCCTCTTGGGATTGGAGTTCTAAGCAATTGCCTTCTTCCCTCCAACTCATCCCATTGTATCAAGGACAGTTGCTGCAGCCTTTGTTTAGCATTCCATCCATCTGCTCTTCTCACAAAACTGTTTCTGAAAAATTCCTTGCTTTCTCTCTTCTCTGTGTTCTGTACATCTTTGTTTTCCTGTTCTGTCCTGTTGTATACTTCATGCTCTCCATGCCTCTACATTCCTTGGCCATGAACTCTCTAGAAACTTTCACACTGCTCAGCACGGAGTTGTCTTTTGGGGCTATCCTGTGCTCAGTGAAGTGAAGCAAGGATGGTGAGATAGAAGGTAAAGGTTTTATCTGAGACAGGATCTACAGTGCATTTATGTGTCACTGCTATGAAGGACCAGCCAGAGAGGAGCTGGGGTAGTTTCCTCCCTATCCATCTGTCTCTCCAACTGTTCCCTCCTGAGCCCATTTTAGGAAATCCCACCCAGAGGGTCTATATTATTGTCCTTACTCTCCAAAGCAATGCACTAGATTGACTTGGCAAGATCAGTAACACTCTCAGTCTCAGGATATTAGTTGCAGGTTTATTTTCTGGAACTGTTAAAAAAGTTCTTGTTAAAGATATTAACTGTGAATTGTTGTTCTTTATTAGGACCAAGAAATATTTTATTTACTAGATGGAAAAACTATTCTGACTCAAAAGATAAATGCTTTTATAGAGTGCTGCTTTTGTATAGGCAAGCCTGGAGGGATGGGCTGGCAGATTCTTTTTAATCCCTTTGGAAATGGAGTTGGGGAGAGGGATTATTTCCTTCAAGGAAAAATGCAGATTTGGCATCCTGAAGCTATTTGTCTGAACTTGCTGGGTAGTGTGCATTCTATTGTTTTATGGTAGATGAATAGAAGGGATTCAGGCATCTCTGTAATTTGTTCAATAGCCAGTCCGGCAGGAATGTGGAAGACCAAGTTTTGAGAACTTTCTCTTCCTGAGCAGGGTTTTCAACTCCTTCCCCTCCTCCTCCCAGTTTTCCTAAGGGCAGGGTATAATCTACAAGGCTAATTTGCAGGCAGATCTTCCTCAGGGTGACCTTGCCATCCTTTAATAAGGTACAGATATTCACTGGAAAAAAGTATGCAACAGGACATGCACTGAGAGGTGAGACATGCTGGGAGAAGGAGACACAATCCAACTCCTCCTCCAGGCAGTAGCCCAGTGTTTTCCACAAGGCTCTGTGGTGTGAACAAGAGAGTGAGGGAACTGTGCCCAGCCAACCCTTATCGCTTGAAAAGCAAGGCATATAGAAGACAGATGATTAAAATTAAATAACCTTACATAGAGAATGGGATTGAACCTAATTTTCCATGCCTTAGGTAGATGCCCTCACCATTTGCCTGAAGGAATTTGTATTTGGGGGAGCACCAGTACTGACTGAAATGTTTGGTTTAGGTCTTGCCAAGTGTTTGCTTGATTTGGAATGAAATATAGGATTATTTCCAAGAAAACAAAACTAAAATTTTCAGTGATCAGCTCTTTGTTTTGGCCTAAAGGCCAACACTTGAACAGAAAATATCCATTCCAGGGCACGTGATGCGGCTTGGGAGCAAAGTGCTCATTGAGATGCAAGATGGATAAAAGCAGCAGTGCAGACCTTCAGGCTGCTGTGCAAGGGGTGCCCAAGTATCTTCAGGAGGACAGGGATGCTTGTTATGGCTTGCATGAGAAATAAGTTCTTGCAAGTAAAGAAAAAAATATCTTCACTCTCTTATTTCTTATTTCAGATGTTTTGGACCATACTGAAGTAGGACTTGCTCCTAGAGGTGTATCCATCTATTCCAGTGAATCCTAAATTGGTTCCTTGCCAAATAGTCTGGAAGGACTCAAGAAAGCAGAAAAGCATGGCCATAGAAGAAGGAAGAGCTTGTATTCCTCTTA